GGGGGGGGGGTGGGTTTGGAGGCTCTCCTGTGCTGCCCTGCAGGGTAGTGAGCCGTGCCACCTTCCTCAAGGCTGGGCTGCAGGCAGCAGGTCCTTGACGGCCAGCCACAGCTCTGACGGCCCGTAGCCCCGGGCTGCACCAGCCGAGGGGTGGCTGGCTGTGGGGGGTCCTGCCTTAGGCATCGAGCCTCCACCCGGGCCTCCACTGGAGCCTGTGGGTGCCACCTGGCTACAGCCGTCTTGCTGCCTGCAGTCCAGAGGTGAGGAAGGGCCCCAGCTCCCCACTGGGGGCCCGCCCACTGTCACTTGCCCTCCTCGGCTTGCTCGTCTGGCTGTGCACAGCTGCTGGGGGGACAGTCCTGGGGACTGGAGAGCCCAAGGGGCCCGGCTGGGTTGAGGGCGGCCCCTCAGTAAGGGTGGGCCCTGTGGCCCAGGAAGAGGAGGGGCAGAAGGGCTCTGGGGCAGCTATGTGCCACACCTTTCCTCCGAGGTCAACCAGTCTCCCCTGCTGGCCCCGCTCACCTCAGGTCGCCAAGGCTGGGACAGGCTGGGAGCCCTGTGGGTTGGCTGTCCTTCCAGACCCTGCCCTTCCCAGGAGTGGGGCCAGTGCCTGCGGCAGCACCAGGACCCTAGGGTGGGGGCCCTGCAGCGGAGCCGGAGGGGTCAGGACCCGGGAGAGGTGGTGAGCAGAGGAGTCGTGGAGGGGCTGAGGGGCTGTGATCGAGTGCGTCCCGCCCGTGGCTTCGGGGCCCCGCCCCGAAGGGGCCGGGGTGGAGGCCGCAGCCTCGCCCCTCGGGCAGTAGCAGTGTGGGTTCCGCCCCCATCCTGGCCCCGGGCCACCCGTGAGCCCTCCCCCTTGGAGTCCGCCAGCTCTGGGGAGGATGGGAGGGTTTATTTGGCGGCAGCGCGGGCGGCAAGGGCACTGCTCACGAGGAAACCTGCGGGGACAGGGGCGCGTCCTCCCGCTTCCCTCACTAGCCCGGCTCATCCCGCGCAGACATGCACCAGTGGTGGCTGGGCAGCCCTCGGGGCTGTGCTCCCGCGCCGGGGCTCTGAGTGCCTTCAGGCGCCTGGGCTCACATTACTGAGCTGCCGCAGCCGACCCGGCAGCCAACATGCGCTGGGTCTGGGCGGCCGCCGCAGCCCTCCTCTGGCCGCAGCTCACGCTCCTTGGGGGCGTGAGGGCCCGGCGGGAGCCCAAGAGGCCACGGAAGCCCGGCCAGCACCCCACAGCCCCCAACGCCACCACGTCCAGCAGCGAGGGGCTACTGGGCTTCCCCAAGGTATGCAGGGTCTGGGCGCACGTGGGCGCCATCCTCCCACCTGCAGGCTCTGCCCGCTGGACTCTCCAGGCCTCCCCTCCCCGTCTGGGCGGGGTGGGGGGGCTTTGGGCAGCAGCCACAGCAGTGTGGCTCGGGCCGGCCTCGAGGACCCTCTCTGGGCCTGGGGAGGGGTGGGGGCGTGGAGGGGCTTCCCAGTGGGCTACATTGAACCCTTTGAAGCCCCAGGGACCATCATGCTCTGAGCAACCTGCTGCCATTCGGTGTGACTGCAAATTGGGGAGGTGCTTTGGGCAGCCAGTTCAGAGCCCCTGTTGCAACCCAGGGTGCCCCAACTCCCGTCGCCGGTGAGGCCAAGGCTAGCCTCTTCCTGACGCAGCCAGCACCCCTTACGGCCTCTGGCATGGGGCGTGCTCCAGGCCTGGGAGGCCCCCCGGCCCTCTGAGAGGAGCTTCTTGTACCTGCCTCAGCCCTAGGGTTCCACCCTCTTGGGCTGGGGCTCCCCGAGGGGATCTTAGAGCTGACCCCAGCAGCGCCAGCCTGGTGGCTGCTGGAGTGAAGCGGCAGTTGCTGGGCCAGGCCCCCTGCCAGCCCTCGAGCCTTTGATCCTGGCCTCCTGCCTCCCGAGGGCGTCTCCCTGGCGGCCACCCCGGCTGCTCTCAGCCCACGCGGCCCCATCGGAGCCTGGAGCCGGAGGCGCCGTTTTCCAGCTCGGTAGGCTGAGGAGAGAGTCCGCCTCGGGCCCTGCTGCCTGGGGAGTGGGCTGCCAGCAGGTTCTGGGGCAGGCACGCAAGCTCTTGAGCCAGGCTCCTGAGGGAGGGGTCCTTGGGGACAGTTCCTGCCCTGCCTGGCCCACCCTGCCCAGCCTGCCCCTCCAGAGCCAGGGCAGGGCAGTCTGGGGGCAGATAGGGGGGTGTCCCTGGCCATGTCACCCCTGCCACAAGACGGCCCTCCCCAGGCGTCAGGAGCCCTGCTCTTCCTGCTGGGGCTGGGCTCCTCCCCCACCTGCCCACCCCGGGTCCTCCAACATGGCTCGGGTCTGAGGCGGCCAGAGGAACAGGCGGACAGCAGAAGTGAGGGCCCGGAACGTTCGGAAGTTCCTGGCTCCTCTCCCTTCCCTGGCGGGCCCCTCCCAGCTCCCCAGGGTAAAGGCCTGCCCTGGGAGCCTGGGCCTTCATCGTGTTTGGCGCTGGAGGCTGACCGCTGGACCGGACCTTGGCCAGGACCCCTCTTCTTGCCTGCCTGGACGGCTCTCTGGGAGTAGCCAGGGCTCCACTGGCCTCGTGGCAGTGGCTCTCTCCTGCCAGACTAGAGTCTGCTGCGCTCCTGGCCACTTCAGGGACCTCTGTGTGAGGCTGGCACACAGACCTGGACTCAGAGAGGGACCGAATCCCTGGCACATGCCCCTCCCCTGGCACGCTGTCTTGTTCTCTCACCTTGGGGCTGGGCGTGCCCCTGCCTCTCCCGCTGCCCTACTGCAGAAACTGGGCGTAGGAGGGGGGCTTGCAGGGTCTGATCCTGGGCTGCCAGCTGGCACACCCGATGCCCAGCACAGAGCGGGACCTTGCCCACTGCCCCCAGCCTCACACGGCTCTGGAGAACTCACTCCTGCCCACCACTGCCTTTCTCGGCCGGGGCTGGGCCCCTGTCAGGACATGTGGGGCCCGGCCCCGTGTGCACACGGGTGTGCCCGTCTGCTTGGGAACGGTTGCTGCAACACAGCAGCAGACCCGAGGCTCCTGGACGTCGGGCCCTGGCCTGAGTCCTGGGGGTGGCCTGCGGTGCCCCGTTGCCATCTTCCTTGTGTCTGCCCAGGGCCCCGCAGTTCCCTGTTCTCCCCTGGGGGCAGTGGGGCAGGGCCCAGCGGGGCCTGGTGGTCAGCACTCTGAAGCGTCCTCTGACCCTTCAGCTGCCTGAGGCCTCAGGGCCTGAGTTCACAGATGCCCACATGACATGGCTGAACTTCGTCCGGCGCCCCGATGACGGGGCGTCAAAGAAACGGTGCCGAGGCCAGGACAAGAAGTCGGTGAGCCCCGGGGCCTAAGCCCAGGATGGGGATGGCTGTGGGTCCCACCACGGTCCTCATTTTCTCCTGCTCCCCCACAGCGAGGCGCCCCCGGCCCCCCAGGGCCCCCCGGTGCGGAAGTGACCCAGGAGGCTATGCTCCGGGAGTTTCAGGGGATGCTGAAGGGTAGGCGCCCCCCGCCCACTCTTCTCCCGAGGCTCAGGTCACCCTGGGGGTACCCCAAGCTGAGCTGAGCCACCCCTCCACCCTGTCCCCACAGAGGCTACCGAGCGCCGGTCCTCAGCGCCGCTGGGCCCCCCGCTGCCCGAGGGGACGGGGAGGTGGCAGGTGTCCGAGGCCTTCCACTGTCGGCTGAAGGGCCCGGTGCTGGTGGACAAGAGGACACTGGTGGAGCTGCAGGGCTTCCAGGCCGTGAGTGGGCGTCGGGGGCAGCCCGGGGGCTTCCACTGCGGGTGCTCAGGCCCCAGCAGGGCCAGCTGGGGGGCAGCAGGCTGGGTGGGCCCCACAGGCAAGCAGGCCCACAGCCACCGCCGGGCGACCCCGGGCCCACGCACACCCCGCCAAGGCTCGCGGTGGGGTCCGAGGTGGCCAGGGGCAGGCACACCCTCCCCTCTGGAGGTCCTTGGGGCCCCGATCTGTGCCCAGAGGCCTGGGTGGGCGCAGATGCATGGGTCACCCCTCTGCCCTGCCCACCCGGGGCCTCTTTGGGTTGGGGGCTGTTGGTCTCAGGCGCCTCCCCCAGGCTGGGTGTGGGAGGTGAGGGTCCAGACTCTGTAGCCCGCGTCGCCCTGCTGTCCTTTCAGCCCGCTGCCCAGGGCGCCTTCCTGCGGGGGTCTGGCCTGAGCCTGGCGTCCGGTCGGTTCACGGCCCCGGTCACCGCCATCTTCCAGTTCCTCGCCAGCCTGCACGTGGGTGAGCGGGCCTGGGCCAGGGTGCGTGTGGGGGGTGGGGGATGGCCTTCCGGGCGGCCCCCGACATTACGGGCCCCAGGCCCGGGTCCTATTGCAGAGGCGTCTCCTGCTCGCACCCTGACTCCCCTGGGGGCTGAACGGGTCCTCACGCCCACCCTCCCCAACCCGCAGTGTGCCCCGAAGCTCCCCAGCCCCTGCCCCCCCTGCTCCATCCTCCCTGAAGGTGCTGCAGACCTGGCCTGTCTCCGCAGACCCCAGGGAGCTGCAGGGCAGGGCCCGGCTGCGGGCCCGGGACACAGTGCGTGTGCTGGTCTGCATCGAGTCCCTGTGCCATCGCCACACGTGAGTGGGCCCTCCTGGGGGTCGTGGGGACGTCCTGAGGGGCACGGGGACCATGTTGCCCACAGAGGGGGGCTGCCCTGAACACAGAGAACCGCGGTGAGCACCGGGGTGGGAGCACGCGAGTCTCTGGGCGCCGGCTGGGGTGGGGGGGCCCACCCCACGGCCACTGTGCCCTCACCCCCGCGGCCCCGCGTCCAGGTCCCTGGAGGCCATCTCCGGCCTGGAGAGCGGCGGCAGGGTCTTCACGGTGCACGTGCAGGGGCTGCTGCAGCTGCAGGTGAGGCCGGGGGCCGGTGGGGCAGTGCGGGGGTGGGGGGCAGTCCTGGGCCTCCAAGCTTCGGCCCGGGCACTGCACGGGCCGGGTGTCGCCTGGCCGGCAGCTGGGCCCTGTGGGTGGTAACGTCCACTGTGGGTGTCTGCAGGCGGGACAGTACACCTCCGTCTTTGTGGACAATGGCTCCGGCGCAGCCCTCACCGTCCAGGGCAGCTCCAGCTTCTCCGGCCTGCTCCTGGGCACGTGAGGGGCCGACGGGCCGCGGGGGAGCTGCTGCAACCCTCACCCCTCTGCCCTCCGGTAAACCTGGGGTCACAGCAATAAAGAGCCCCCAGCCCTTCCTGTCGCCTGGTCTCTGCAGCATTGTAGGGGCAGGGGTGGGGGAGGGCGGGGGCAGAAGCAGCCGTGGAGTGGCCTCAGGACACCCATGGGTGCGGGCGTGGGCTTGGCCCTGGAGGTGGAGCTTCCGGCCGAGCACCCTAGCAGCCAGGGTGCGCCCCCCACGGCCCCTGTGCCTGCCAGGGGCCACGTTTACCTTGATGACAAGGACAGGTGTCTGTTCAGGCCGCCGCTTGGCCCTGCCCACGGCCTGGGACTGCCCCTCTGCCTGCCCAGGGCCGGTCCAGCCTCAGAGGGTAGCAGCCCGTGGACACTCACAGGGCCTGGGAGACCTCGAGGCTGGTGAGCGGCACAGTGTGTGTCGGGGAGCAGAGAGGGTGAGGCGGGGCCCCCCGTGGGGCTGGTGGGGAGCAGACAGGTGTGCTGGCCGCTAGCCTCACACCCTCCAGACGCGGACGGTGTCCGCACGGCCCGGGCGTCCTCGGCGTCCCTCATTCCGCCAGGGACCTTACTTCTCACCACCTTCTCCTTGGCGGCTGCCCCCCTGCCCCCCGGTGACAGGGTCAGAGTGGCCTGGACAGGCGGCTGAGGCCCTGCCTGTGGGTCCTGTGGATTCGGCCCCTGCCCGCACCACTCAAGGTCAGACGGAAGAATGTAAATTGGTTGTGGACGTCTGGGTCTTTGCAGAGCTGCCGAGATACCATCACTGGTTGGCACCTGGGCCCTCTGCCCATGACTGGGGCTTGGGGGTGGGGGATCGGCTCCGCCGCAGGGGGGCCTGGAGGCCCGTCTGCCAGCTCCGGTTGGCGTGGGGAGTGGGGCGGGTTACCAGCCGCTCCCCCAGACCTTCCCTGCAGCCCGCTGGGTAATGAGGCAGGAAAGCTCTGGTGCCGAGAGGGCACCAGTGCATGCAGCGACGGGCTTGGCCACTGACCCGTCCCCACCTCTCTCCCCGGTCCCCCTGGGTGGCATCAGGGGCCCCGGGTCTGGGGGCGGTTCTCGGCTTCATGGCGCCACCGGCCTGGTCTGAGAGGGATGTTCCCGCCGCCTGCAAGGGGGAGGCGTGAGTGGCACGCTGGGGTCTCTGTTGGGAGGTCGAGGGGAGGCTGCAGGCCGCCCCCCACACCCCCGGCACCGAGGTCCTGTGTGGGCCGAGGATCCCAGGCCTCCTGGGACTGCTGTATGGAGCCCAGCTTGGCCGCAGGCACCAGTCTGTGTTCCCACCCATGTACAGGGCTCACTGAGGTGGTGACTGGTGGGACCACCCCCCACCCCCCCCCCCCGGCCCCCGGGGCTCTCCTGACTGTCCTTCAACACCGGCTGGTCCCCCAACCCCGCCCGGCCCGGGAGCGGGCAGGTCTCACCTCACCCAGACCTGCCAGGGGCTGTGATGACAGAGGTCGGGGCCGGGCCCTGCGGGGGCGGCAGACGAGAGACAGGAGATGAGGAGAAGAGAGACGGAGGACGGGCAAGCCGGCCGCCCGGGGCTCCTGCGGGCAGGCGGCCAGGGCCCCTCCGCCCGCCCCCGGCGCCCGACTCGGCGCTTGCCGTCTGTTTCTTCCTCCCGGTTTCTGCCCCTAATGGGAGGTCATTAACCCCTTAGCTCTAATTCCCCTGGAACGCGCCGTGCCCAGCTGGGCCCCGGCGCTGGGAGAGCCGGAGCAAAGACCTGGGGGGCTGGGGTGGGCGGCAGCGGCTGCTATAGGCGGGTCCAGGGGCACGAGCTGGGGTGGCCCTCAAAGACGCAGGCTGTGCTCCCAGTGCAGACAAGCGGCCAGTGCAGGGTGAAGCCCCCAAAGGCCCCGCCCTGGACCCAGCAGCATCATTTTCTCTCAGCCCCGTCATCTCCTGAAGCTGGACCCAAACTGGGGTGTTTGCTAAGCTCCCTGGGCCCTGGGCCCTTACAGTCACACCCACCCAGTCTGAGCAGGGGCTCCTGGGGTGGGTTGTAGCAGCTCTTGCCCCCTCGGGCTCACCGGGGGTCCCGGGTTGGGGGCCTGGGGACGGGGCTCTTTTCCCTGTCCTGGACTCTGGGTTTGGAGCTGGGCTTTGGGGTGGCCAGCACAGCGCTGGGCAGCCTCAGCTTGAACCCTGACCCCGAGCCCTGCTCTGAAGCAGCGGCAGGTGCTGGGCTGACCCCGTTGGCCCTTCTAGGCTCAGTTCCCAGAACCTCTGGCTGACCCTTCTGCCTGCAGCCGGGCCTGGGGACTTGCTGTGCTGGGGGCTCCCGCGCGGGAGGACGCTTTCTCCTGGGAGCACTCCAGCCCTGGCTTCCCAAGCCCTGGTCCCCGGCCACAGCTGGGCTGCTGCTGACTGCCCCTCCCGGCCCCGAGGCTGAGGCAGCCCTGGGGTGCTGGGGGCAGGTGTGCCCAAGTTGGGCCAGAGCCAGGTCAGCACCCTCGGCCTGCTGTCCAGTTTCAGTGCAGACAAGAATGTGTGTCTCTGGCTCAGGGCAGTTCGAAGTTCTCTCAGGTCTGGGCGCAGCTGCCAGCCCACCCTCCCTTCACCCCACTCCGCCCCACAGGAGCTGGCAGGGGCAGGGGTGGCCCCTGGTCCCCTCTGCGGGCTGCGGATGGGACAGGGTAGGGGTGAGGCCAGCAGGACAGGCTGCCCACCTGGCCTGGGTTGGGGCTCCGGGGAGGGGGAGGCCCTCAGGGTGTGGCCAGGACACGCCGGCCCGCTGCAGCCTTTTGTGGCCAGGACACGCCGGCCCTCTGCAGCCTTTTGAGGCCAGGACACGCCGGCCCGCCGCAGCCTTTTGAGGCCGCCTGTGGCCGGTGCCCAGCTCGGTGTGACTTCGTCCCCTCAGGCTGGGCCTGGGCTGGGCGCAGGGATCTGCTCCAAGGGCCCTTTGAGCTGCCTCTCCCCACCGAGGCCCCTGTCCTTAGCCAGCCCAGACCCTCTGACTCCTGTGACCTGGGCCAAAGACCCAAAACGGCCCGAGGGTGTGTGGGTGTGGGGAGTGCAGGGGGCCCGTTGGGACCTGGGTGGACGTGTCCTCTTTGTGGCTGTGCACCTCTCCCTGGGTCTGCATGTACCTGGGCCCGCCGTGCTGACCCCGCGTGTCCCAGTGGTGGCTGCGGTGGTGACTCTGGGAGCTCCGCCCTGACCTGTGGTCCAAGTGGAGCCTCCCATGGTCCCTGGTGTCTGGATGACGCATGTGGGGGTCTCTGTGTGTCCTCTCTCTCCGCCCTGCGGCCTGCCTGGGCTTTCTTGGCAGAGCTGAATCACCAGGACCCTCGGGAGTGAATACAGAGCAGGTATCCAGGCCTCGGTGGCTGGAGACCCTGGCTGGCCAGTCCCTGAGCTCAGGAACAGCCACAGTCAGGGTCCTTGGCACTGGGGAAACCTGCTGGCATTGGTCCAGCTGGGGAGCCTTTCGTGCTGGACAGTCGGGCTGGTGGCCGCACAGCCATGGATGCCGGGTGGGGAAGGGCCACTGCCCAGGGCCTGGAGCTGGACTCACCAGGACGGCCGGGGACTCTGGGTGATGGGGGAGGGGAGAGGGGCTCCCGGCCCCTGTCCTGGGGCAGAAGCTCCTTGCGGGCAGCAGGGAGCCTTATCTCATCCGAGGCCTCCAGCCTGCACTCAGCGCTCTGACCTGGCTGCACCCGGGAGGGCCCTTGCTCGCAGACTGGGCTCGGCCAGCGTGCCCTCTGGGCTCCATGTTCAGGCCACTCCAAGCCCTGCGTGACCTCGGGGCCCTGACCCAGGTCATCGAGGTGCTGGGTCTCCGGCCCGGGGTGCCTGAGCTCACCCAGGAGCTGATGCCTCCAGCAGCCTGGGGCCTCCCCCGGCCCAGCCCTGGAGCTGGGTGGACACAGGCTGGGGAGCCCGCCTGGGTATTGGCAACTCCCACACCTGTGCCTGTGTGTGCCGCCATCAGCACGCCTGCCCCTCGGTGCGTCTGCCGGAGTGTCTCGTGGTGCACGCGGGCAGGCCTGGCGGGGGCCGGGGCGTGGGGACCAAGGGCCTTTGTTCGGGAGGATTTGGGTGCAGTCCTGCTGTGGAGCAGTGACTCATGGGCTCCTCTGGTGCGATGACATTGGTGTTGCAACAGCTGGCGTCACATGCACACCTGGGGCAGTGGGGCAGTGGCCAGGCCAGGAGAGATGGCCACCTGTGCCCACAGCCCCTCTGGGCGGCTGGTGGGACCCGGGCGTGTGAGAACGGGACTGAACAGGACGGGCATCACGGGCAGAGCTCTGCCTCTGAAGCGAAGTGTCTCCAGAAGCAACCCCTGCTGTGCCCCGCCGCCCTGCCCCCCGCACCAGGCCCCGCAGCGGGATCGGCCTGGCCTTCACTGTGGAGGCTGCCCGCTCTCACCTCTGGGGCCGGAGGCGCAGGCTGGGGTCCGTCTGGGAACACAGTCAGAGGGCTGGACACGGTGACCCAGCACTGCTGGCCGGGCTCGAGCCTGGCTCTGGCCATCCGCCCGGCACTCTGCGCGGGACGGGGCGGGCGGCTGTAGCTGGGGGTGCTGGGCCCCCTCGGGGGCTGGGCCGCCGAGACCCTCAGACGCCACCGGAGGGAGGGGCCGGGGCTGGGGTTTTTCCTTCTCGGGTCACTGGGCCGGGTCAGGCCCTGGGTTAGTGGGAAGTGGGAGCTGGACGAGGGCCCTCCCTGGGCGTCTGTCCCGCAGGCAGGGCCGTGGAGGTTCGGTGTTTAGAGGACAGAGTCAACCTCTGTCCGGTCCCCATGGCCACCCTGGCTCCTGGCTCCTCCCCAGCCCTGAGCGTCACCCAGCACCGTGGCCAGCTGAGCCCTGCCCGGTGTACCCTGCTGGCCGGCCAGCAGGCATGACCCAGGGCCAGCGGCAATGGGGTACCAGCTGTGAGCCCAGGGCATCGTATGGTGGGAGGGTCCTTGATGTCCTGCCGAGTGGCCAGGTCAGAGACGACCCCCTGC